CCCCAAAACCCCAAAACCCCAGGCTTAACTATCTTTAATAGATTGATGATTATTAAGAAATTAAAATAATTTTAAGATATCTACAAGCAAATTTCTGATTAAAATAAATATACTTTGTTTATTTGGATCAGTATTCTTTTATATCAGTTAGTTCCCTGTTAAGACTAGCTTAAATGCCTGTAATGTTTAGGTGTCTTGTCTATCACAGCTGGAAGTCTATTAATCAAGTTATTTATGCTTTTGGTTCTTTCTTATTATTGTTTGAAATTCTTTTCATAAAGCTCATTTTCCTCAATTCTTGAGAAAAAGAAATCATTCATATAGCTAGATCTCAAAAGGATATTGTATCTATTAGCCTTGTCTTTTGGCGACTTTACAAAAGGAGTCATAGATTTCTTAGCTATATCTGTCAATTTGAAATATGAAAATTTAAAAGCTTCCGCATTTTGAGTCTTATTGAGAATCTCCTTGTAATCATGAGAGGTAAACTTAGACTTTGAGCCCTCTTTACTTATTAGAATATGAGAAGCATTCTTTGACTGCCAAGCTCTCCTTTATTCGTCAGAAATATTTAGCATAGTATTTGGTTTTAATCTGGAGTCTTGACTAGGTCTTTTCTTAGCAAATAAGTCTATCCTAAAATCTTTTCCTCTATACATTTACTGCTAGTAAGTCAAATCTAATCTTGAAAATCTTGGCTTTTTTTTCATTAGATTACTTAGTGAATGAGGGCTGTCATGATCTCCATCTGGATCATAATCTGCCTGATTAATTCGAATTTTTGTTCATGCATTGTCCAATAATACCTCATCAGTTTCTTTGCCAATTTTATTGTAAGTGAGGGCATAATTAGCTAGATCCTCGAAAGTTTTCTTAATGTACTTTAATATTTCTCCCGTTAATCCCTCTTCACTGACATCTTCAGCCATCAACAATTGCCTTTTTTGAAGCTCAATAAATTGATTATTTATCGGGATATTCAACCTCTTAGTCAACTCTAGGAAAGATTCATATTCTCTAAAATCACTTCGAGTCAGAATTTGAAAGAGTGAGCTAAATGATAACTTTAATAAAAATATTGTTTACTTCTTTTCCTATTTGATCTTTTTAACTTAGTCAAAATTAGTCTTATTTTTATCTATGAAGACAGTTTGGATTGTAATGACACCGAGAAGTACATTACTACACAACTCATTAATCGTATTCTCTATCTGGAATGTAAATTGAGATAATAGTTTACATTGTTTATTTCGTAAGGATTTCTCTAAAGTTTTCTTTAAATAGGATTTAGTCTTAACTGGTAAGTGAAGAATGTATTGAATTCATTTTTAAAAACATTAACAGCTGTATCTAATATCTTTAACTTATTGTTATATATCGCATGTGATTTACTGAATACTGGATTGATTCTTTCCATAATATTTGGAAAGAACCTTATTTTTAAAAATCTATCAAAAGCATCCTCATTTCCATATTCAAGTGTTTCGAAAAAGGTTTATGATTAAGAAAATGCTGTTTTTATGTCAAAAAACGCAAATACTTAGCACTAAAATTGTATTTCCAAATTTTTCATATGTCTCTTCAATTCTATAGCCACCGGATTTTTCACAAGATCTGGCTCTCTCCAATTGTTAGGCATATCAACACCTAAAATAGAAGTAATAGTATTCCCTAAGACTACTCCGTCAACACAAACCATTGGCACAATCTTGAAAATAAACCTATGTCTTAATCTCTTTGCTATTTCTGTGTCGCCAACTATAAAGTTTATAAAACCCTCCATCATGCGACTGGAAAATGGGTCTGCAGGGGTTTGCCTACCTATTAATAATATAACTTTAATCTTTTAGTCATCTTTGGTTCTTGGAACTAAACCTAGCCTCCTTTCTCTTACTTTCACATCCTCTATTGTTATTATAGGAACTTGCAATCCTCCCGGACATTAGCATAGTACTTATTTTTAGTAATGAAAACCTCTTTCTTCAGGATCTATCTTTTTGCTATTGATGAATGTTAGGAGATTTGAGTATGTGTAAGGCTAATATAGCGCAAAGAAAGTATGATCATTTATTTGATTGGCAGTATAGGACCACATGCATTAAGTGAAATATCTGTTTTTAGTTATTTTTATATCATAGCATCTGTTATTCATCCATTCTTAGGCATGATTCAAATTATTCCTAACAGAATAAGACCAAATACCCTCTCTTTATTTGATTGATTGTAACTTCTCTTTTATATTTATGATTTTAAACTTGACTGGCTGATTGTGAGGAAGGTTCTTAACTGAGAAGAAGAACCATCCAGATTTAGGACGTAAATTAGGATCGTTTCTTATAACTATCATGTAAAAATTTTTGTCCTTCTTAAATACCTGATGGATATTTCCATTCTGAAAATCCCCTTCAAATTAAATAGGTAAGTCTCTAGCTCAAGGTAAAGTATGGATAATTTCTCTAAGATTATTGACTGCACTCACAACAGGATCGAACTAAACCTTAGAGAAAATGTCCTTGAAACTGTTATTGTACAGACTCTGATACATTAAATCTACTTCCTATAAATCCTCTAAGTCATCCAGAAGATCGTCGACAAAATCAATATACTCATCTCTGATCATACTCTGATTAACCATTAAAATATCATCCTGATTTTGAACCACCAAATCCTCTGGTTTTACAAAGTCCACTTGATCATCCTTCTTTTTCCTGAATCTGCTTCGAGAGCCTTCTCTGAAAAATCCTCTACTTGGACTCTTTGATGGAGTTTTGAGTTTACTCTAGCTCCCCAATAAACTTTTATTTACAGTTAACTGGGAATCATTGAGGTTTCCCCTTCTATTTCTAGCGAAATCATCTTCTACTTTTATAAATGGTATCTGTATTTTAGATTTCTTTGGGGGTTTCTTCTTTTATTTCCTCACCTATTTTAGTAGCTCAACTTGTTTTTCTAGATTTTTCAAATTGAGCTCTCTTTCTTTTCTTTGCTGTCTTAAACTTATTTTAGGCTACTCAGGCTCTTTTTTCTTTTCTTCTTATTCTTCAAAACTTGATTCTGGCAGCTTTTTAAGTTTTCTTCGCTAGTTCCATTTAAATTTTTCAATTTCTTCTATGTTTGACGGCTTCCACCCAAATATCATATCTGGCCCGAGAGAGTATTTTCCAGTCGTTGGTAAAGGTTCTGGTGAGGGCATAAAAGCATCATCCAAACGTAAAACAATATCTACTTGACTATCATTTCACTTTCTAATTGTAGGACTATGGTTTAATGTTCTTCTAACGGAACTCTCAGCAAAAGACTTGCTGAGACCCTCAAAAGATTCTTCTCTAAACGGGTTTTTAGTTTGTTATGAAACAAACAATGGGTTAGCATTCATTAATAAGTCTATTGATTGATTTATTATCGATGCTGAAAATTATTCCCAATATTAAATTTTTCTAATTTTTTTTCAGCTTATAAGCTTTTCTCTTATTCAGCCTTATGGGGTTTTGGGGTTTTGGGG